GAAATAAATGTAGTTAGAAATAGTTAATTGGAACTAACTTTTTATATTGTTTGCTTCGTTTCAGATTAGTTTTTCTAATTGAGATACCTTGAGACATTGCATTTCTTTTTACATCCAGTATAGTTATATTTAAAAAATGGACCTGAAATAAGACGTTTTAAGTTGCAATTGAAAATAAAATAAGATTTCTCTACTTGTATGTTATTTTTGTTTACTATTATGTATAATATCTATATACGCAGTATTCCAATGTTTTGTATTTCAATTTATTTATTGTTTCGTGATAAATCTTTTAAGGATAATGTGTTCATATATATAATATTTGTATATGGTATAAATTTTAATAATTTCCTAAATAATATATGTAAAATTATATCAATGTTCGCGCGCATATTTATATGAAAAACAAATACATATCACGTCTGTCAATGTACTATACGAAAAATCTATTTTATCAACAAATTTTAATTTATTTTGTTTAAAGTGGAACCATGTGTGTTTGTAACAAATTTAAACATTGCATATTTGCAAAATGCTTGCTGTGTTCAAAAATTATGGAAAAATAAGCTATTACACCCATAATACATATAACATATACTACAAGAATACACATATGTTTGTATATGTATATACCTATTATAAATCTATATCCTTCATCATATTTTTTTCCTGTACTTTTGGATTCAATACACAGCAATTGTACATTATTCTTAGTACTGAAAAGTGCTTTGTTACAAAATCATGGCCACGTCATTTTCACAATTAAATATACATTCTTTTTTCGCTAAAATTTGTAAACAATATAAATCATATTAGTACAGAGTTTGATAAATAAATATTTTACTTCCCGCTATGACAGTTACACACATAAGATTAATTTCACTCATTTAGTATTTCAGCAACAAATAGTATTAAGCACTCCTTCTCTGTAGCTGTAAGTGTATAATGTAACGTTTATTTGTCACACGATTAAGTTTATATAAAATAAATCTTCATTTCAGCAGTTACACTCAAATACATGTTTTTTTTCTTGAACATACATCATCATATATAGATAATTATTAGTACAAGGATTTTGTTCAAAGTTCAAGTTTGTTTTTAAGCTTCATTGTGATATTTAAATAAGATTCCATATGTATAATTTGAAAGTTTCGACTAAGTTGCAACATATCAAATAATAGTTCAAATATAGTATCAAAAGAGACCTTCCATGGTGATATAAAGAAAGACATGTATAAAGAGTCATTATTTTTAACAAATATCTTCTTTCTATGTACTTTTACTTTCTGATGAATGAATTTCTGAGAATTGTTCCTAACTTATAACTTTGAAAAATTCCTCTAGGAATGCATCCCACATATTTTTATTTTAAATAAGTTTATCTGTACAAGTCATTTAAGAAAATTAATTTTAATACAATGTTTGAAGATCTACTAGATCAACGCAATGTGTGTATTAAAAATATATGGGACACCATTATATGTGTGTATATATATATATATATATATATATATTATGTGTGTATATATATATACATATATATAAAGTTCATTATTTACTTTCATCACATTGCACAGTGACGTGTAACTTTTAATCAGTCAAGCTCTTGTGCTGTTTGTGAAGTTGAAGCTGTGTTTCTTTGTTCATCATCTGAACCTTCATCTTCAAGACCATTAAAAAATGATTGTAAAAGTGTACCAAATAATCCTTGATTGCGAGGACGTGGGGATGGAACGTTAAAAAATAATTGCCCTATTTTATCTAAGTACTGTCGATAACATGGATCTCTGTTTAAAGATATTCGATATTGTTCACAAAGTACTGTGAACACAGCGAGTTTACCACTGAAAAATATGAAGTGCAGAATATAATATTGCTACAAATTTCCTACAACTTTCTAATAATTAAACAAATGAGATAAAATTTGTACTCACCTGTCAACTGTTTTTAATAAAAAAAATAAAAAATTCAGTAAAGGAAGAAGATATGGTGGACCACTGTTTATTTTTGGATGCTGTGATGTATAAGAATTGAAAACTTCCTGTGCAGTAGTTTTATTTTGTAAACAAAGGTATCTAAAAATAAGTTAACAAGATTTTCTAAATTGTTTTAAAGTACTTTAAATACTATTTAGATGCTTAAATTAATGAGGTGCGTACTTACTGCAAAACTGCCTGAGCTATAAAAAGATCTATTTCATTTTTGTAACCACGTTGCTCATGGAGCTCGACAAGCATCGCAGCACATCCAGAACCATCTCTACTATATATAAAATGTTGCCTTGCCATTATATAATTTTTTTCTACGAAAATGTATAACAAATTTCTTTAATATTATTATTATTATATGAATGTATATTTAAAGACGTTTATTATCTTAATCGATTTACCTCTCCAAAATACTTGTGCTACTTTCTGATGCAAATCTGGATGACCTGTTTTATATTCTGTACCTTTTATACTCCATCGAAGAGCAGATTGTACAAATACATCTCTTTCAGGTGATAAAGGACTCATTATACTGAACAAGTTTGTTATTTTTTCGAAATAATCTTGAGAAGGTTCTGTTCCTGATTGTGTTAAAACATTTATAAATAAGATTCCTAAGTCAGCTCCACTTGCATGCTATAAGTAATAAAATATAATAATATTACAATACTTTTTTATACATCTGTATAATATGCATAAATAATTGCAAATATGCTATATACAACTCAATGTTATATAGTATTATCAATTGATATAGAACATAATCTCATTATATCTTAAAATATTCTAGAATATTCCACAACATTTTAATTTTTATTTATAAAAATACATTTTAATATAACAGACATTAATGATAACTGATAATAGAACTTGATTATAGATTGTTCGAGAAGGGAATTTGTAAATAACACTTAGGAATGTGTATTATGACATCATTTTGAAAATAGTTTTTTTCGCGACATATTTGTAAAATCAATGAAAAATAGAGAAAGTGGAATAGATTACGTACTTGCTCGTGTTGTAATAAAAGAGTAGAACCATTATATAGTAATTCCAAAAGTTCCGAATACTTTTTCTGCCCAAGATATCTGGAAGAAGAGGTTAAGCAATCATATCGACGATTCTATAAAAACGATTCTTTGACGATGTTGATTAATTACGTTGTTGGCCCACCTGAAGTATAAAGTTCTATACATTTGATGAGCTTCATAATAATTTTCCGAATTTATAGATGCTTCTAATTTTGCTAAAACTCGCTGAATAGCGTGATTATACCGCGAGGCCATGTTTACGCTCTTTGGAATATTTTTTTCTGCTTTTGTAATTGGTATCATTGCTGTGTGTGTAAGTAATTTAAATTTGAATTTTTTCTAAAGATGAACTTCAATATATTCACTTATAAAAAGACATTATTATACAACGTTACAAATAATATATATGTAATACATTATAGTAGATATTAATATGAAATATCACAAATTAATATAAACTGATCGCTAATAGAATTAGCTTTAGAAATTAAGTTGTGCATAAATGTATTTTGTATTTATTTATCTATATATGTTTTATAAAAATATATATATATATAATTATAATGTTGAGAATGCAAACTTTATTTTTAGTTGTGTTAATTATACATATAATTTATACTCCTCATTAATAATTAAACGAGTAATTATAATAAAGTAGCATGTGTAGTTACAATTTTGCAATGCTTTTATAAATAGAAAATAATTTTCTATAAACAACACAAAACATTCAGTGTGCAATTATGTTACTTGTTATCATATTTCTAAGTCGAGAAAGAGTAGTGTAAGCACTACTAAATTTATAGGAGCAATATTAAAATACTGCTTTATATATAAAATTATTTCAAAATATAACTTATATTATTCAATTTTATATGTATTACATTTTACTATCCAATTACACATACTTTTAACATATGAAATATAAAATGATTGTTTTACCTCAAAAACAATAGTTAGGGATACATATTAATGAAATACAATATACATATGTATAATCAAATATAGAGATTAAATTTTATGAAATATATTAGAGAGAAAATGAAATTCATTTCGTTGTAATCAAAATACAAAGAAGACAATACAACTCGTGATATAGATGAGAGTCATAATATATAGTTTTTAGTTAAATCGATAGGAAAAATTGGAAGGCTGTCTCGGAGGTGATAGCAATTGCAAAAAGTAATATTGATAAATGCGCAAAGTGGCGTCGCGTAAGCGCTGAAATGCCGTAGGTGCATACATACGTGGATACAGTAAAAATCGTGAAGGCAATGCGCCTCTGGTGGCCAGCCGCGCAAACAATCCTTGCGGAAATAATTATCACGATTTATGTTATTTGTAAATGTGAAGAGAATCATTAATGAGGGTATGCCAAGTAGCGGCGATTAGGGTGATAAGCGGGTCCTGTAGTGTTCCCGGTTACACTTCGAGTGAGTGAAAGTCGTGCTCGGTAACGGGGTGAGTGTCCAAAACGTTCATTCCCCCCGCTTTTAAAGGGGGGCGGTGGCTCGCATCAGTGTTTTTTTATCGTTTCTTTAGACGTCTTCATCCCGAAAATAACAATGGCCGGAGGATTCGAATATGCATGGATTTTTAAAATGCCAAGCTTGCTACCCTGGCAACCTACACACATTTTCCTGACCCTTTTTTATTACATGTGTCAATTAGCATCGGTACGGCTACTGTACATCTTAATATTTTCAACAATAGCTTTCTACGAATTAATTTATCCAATGTGTACTATTCTGTAAATTAATTTTTATGAGATGTAACTCATCAGAAATTAACGAAATTTTCTATGTATTATAAGAAAGAGAAATGTTACCGCCTACGAAAATTGTAACTGATATTACACATAACTTTAGCAATTCAGTTTAGTCTACTCAATTTTATATTTATGATGTGTTTTTTAATTTTTTAATTGTAGAAATTATATGAAATCTTTTTCTTTATTTTGAAAAGATGATTTTATTTGCACAGGATGGACTTAGCAGAAACTATGAAAAACATTGTTGCCAAAGGTATGCAAACCGAAATGGGACCACCAGGTGGAGGATCTGGTTACCCTGGTACACCAAGTAGCGCTGGTTATGTTACTGAAAAGATGTATATGTTATTACAAGCCTATCTTCAAAATAAAGGTTGGAATCCAAGCATCGAACTGCTGCAATGTTTTTCTGAATTCAAGGATGCATCTATGATACCAAGTGCTGCCTATTTGCAGTAAGATTGCTTGATCTTTTGTCTTTATGTATTAATATATTATATTGTATGTTTATATATAAATGTAAACTGTTTGTATAGTTTTTTTTATAAAACATAACTTTTTATGTAAAATTTACAATCCTTTTATTACATTTTCTGTAATGTATAAATAGGATGATGGCATCAAGAATAGCTTTGGACTCTCAGGGAAGGCTAGTGCTTAGGGAAAATGGAAAAATAATATTGCCCTATGAACATTTTGCAAATGCTGTGATGTTAAAGCATATGAATGGTCCACATGGTCTACATTTGGGCTTAGAAGGGACAGTTAGAGCTGTTATGGAATCATACACTATCGGACGGGAATGTTTTGGTATGGAAAAAGAATTTATAATAGAGGTGGTACAAAACTGTCCAAATCCTGCTTGCCGTTATTACAAAAATCAACTCGAGTTAACTCAAAAAATGGGACATATGGCACCAACTTACATTCAAGAAAATGAAACAACAGCTTCTCTCTTACGTAGTAGTTTTCCTCATAACACAGATTTTCAAGCAGTAAGCACAAAAGCCATTTTTATTGATAACTTATTTATAAAAAAAGAATTAACTTTTACATATTTTTAAATCAACTACATTTGATGTATTTATATTATAGACATTAAGCAGTGCTAATCCAAATACTCACATGGGAGGAGGATCAACAGCAGATTTGGCAGAAATGAGAGGTGCTGGGAACCAAATGAATCTTCAACGTCCTCCAAGCCGTCCATCATTAAATATTCCACATAGACCTGTGTCACAAGAAAAAAAAGTAGCCACTGGGAAACAGCATTATGAATCCTTAATACCTAATATTCCAATGTCTGATCATAAATTAACAGACTTCTTAAGAACGAATTTAGATAATTTGGACAATCTTAGTGGGCTTGGTTTGGGAAATTTACAAGGGATAGGAAATGCAAATAAGGATTTGTTAGCCTTACATAACGGAGCTTGGCCATTAGAAAATGAGAAAGGATCTCGGGCATCTTCAAATTCAGAAGGTTAATAGATCATATATATGTATAATATTCAATCTATGAAATTGAAACTATGTTTATATTTATGTCTTTAAAAAATGATTATTTTCTTATAATTTTACAGGAGGACAAGAAAAAATAGTAAGGGCTTTTGCAGAAGTTATGAAGAACATGGCAAGGATGAAAGCTTGTGTACGTCCTGCAATGTGCAAGCCATACGGAAAACAATCAGAAGCTTTGCAAAAAAGTAATAAAATACATAGCATCTGTCATGATTTATCTTTTAATATAATATTTCCATTAGGTTTACAAATAGATTCTTCTTATAAATTATTTATATTTTACATAATATCGATGCGTGATGTTATTAGATATTAAATACTGTGTTTCTTTGACTACTTTTTAGATCATGCCAATCTTTCTCCATTGATGAAAATGAAATGTATGTTTTGTGTTGGTTTTGTTACAGCGCTGGTGGATACAATACAGCTTGTACAGTCGCTAAGAAGTTTCCTGCCACCTCCACATATTCCTGTCTCAAGCTGGAAAAATGAAGATAAACATCGATTAGATCATACGGGTACTCCCTATCTCCCATCATTGTAAGTATCTCTTATGGTCTATATTTTAAGTATACCCTCGTTACATGACTAGAGATATCAAATAAAGAGTTATAATTTTTATGCAGAAAGACTGGAGGTTTAGAAGAGTTATGCGAACAACGCAAGCTAGACTAAACAAATGTCTTCGCTTTTTAAGCGGCAGACAAGGTTTTGTCTTTGCGCTCTATGATGTTCTAGTCATGTGGTGTTTATGGGTTAGATGGGTGTTTTGTATTTAAACAACCCGAAGGATTGCTCAAATGTTGTTGGCGTTTAGGACTTCAAAATACTAAGAGACAAAACGAGTCATGCGTGGACTGTGATAAACGTGGGTAGCGAAGAAAAAAATTTATATATAGTCAATCGAATCTCCACACCGTTATTTCAAATTCGAACTAGCTTTATTTCGTGTTGCTATAAGTTTTTTTCGAATTTTTATAATCTGCCTATGGGGCTTACTTGGAAACTATGGGGTAAGATAATTTTAAATTATCTATCTCATCATGAATAATTTACATATTATGAATGTATTATAAAATGGCATTTATATTTTATTGTTGTGCATTGATTTAATAGCTCACCACTTGTGTTCCAATGATTACCTGATCAACATTGTATTATAAAGATTCTTTGTTATATAAGTAAATCTTTTGTACGTATTGGACGTTTGGACAAAGTGTAAAGACTAAATTCAGTCTTGCATGTAAGTGTGAAAGGTTTGCTAATTAGATATTGTTATAAGTATTTTAAATACGAGAGTATAAATAAGCAATTGCAATTCTTGTTGTCGCTTGACCTCGCATTATTTAATTTTTGAATATTTATTATATAATTATTGGACTATCGTTTCAAATTAAATAATTAAAATCACGACAAAATTATCTAGTTAAAATAAATATTCAATTTCTATATACTATATATATACATTTTTTAAAAATTATACTTGTATAAATTATTGTTTATTTATAAAAATAGATCACAAACATATATTGTTGTTATGTCTAGTATTATTATCTGACAAGTTAATGTTAAAACTTGCAATAATTTATAAGCTCCATGGGCAGTAACATGCGGTGTGCACGTATAAAAAAATAAATCATTGGTCAATTCATAGATATTTTTCGAGAAATAAATTATTTCGTTACTATATACGATTAAAAAAAAAAAAAATAAAAGAACGAAAAGTTACATTATTAGAAAATTTTCGAAGCGTGATTTGCACTGATGCTCAAAAATTTCTCTCTGTGCACTATTACTTACAAACGGTATTACCTCTGGCAACCGCGAAATGCGTGATAAACCGAGAGAAGAGAAAATAGAAAATATTATGCGTTATCTTAATCGAAATTCTTCGATGAAATGCATTTTATTTTGGTTGTAGAAGTAAAATCGTTTTAAACTCAATTGTTATACGCATATCTGCGATGGTAAAATGTTTCCTTCTCGCTCGATAATATCAAAATATAAACTATACGTTTCTGAACATAAACAATAAATTTGTGTAATGAATGCTTGGAAAGTGGATGAATGTCTGAATCTTGTTTGTACACAGGTTCGATGGATGTAAAGTTTCGGCTATCAAATAGCAAAATTTTATATGAACGTATCTGAATGCGTGAACGCGTGATTCTGTTTAGATATCTTTCTATAAACGTGTCTGTTATAAAACGCATGTATATTTATTTATAACATCTGCAGCGAATATGTCGATCAATTGTTAGCAGGGCTCAGATTTCTGTGATCCACTATTTACATCTGTGTGTTAACTTCGTTTTTAAATTCAAACATTTTTGCATTTCTAGTATGTAGGATGATAGGATGAAAATATTTTGATCATCTTCTTTCGTTTACATTCGACAATATTGTCCTAACGATAATTTTTTTGCTGTTGATATATATATTAATTGACGAAACATAATAAAATTTCAATTTATTTAGGAATTATTTAATTCAATGTTAGAAGTGCGAACTAAAAATTTCTATTTTAATTTTGTATAATGTTACATAACCATTCATAAAAATTCATTTATATCATCTATATTATCTATGTACCAATTATTATGTTAAAATATCTCAGTTGAATAAAATTATTAATATAATTGAGAAAATAGAATATACATATGTGTAGATAATAAAGAAAATGTGAAGGAGTGTTAAAATTTCTAGGAAGAAAGGTAGAAAGTATGAAAGATATTTCAAAATTAATTACATTGTTTAAAATATGTTTTTTAGCAATTTGCTGCATATACAGGCTGCAGGATTGTGGACGCTACTATATATAAAAGCTGTGCAAAGATAAGCATTTTATTTTCATAGTTTTCAAGCAGTATCCTGAAGAAATGCCATTGATAGTTTAGCATATCTCATCGTGTGTATCTAGCGTGGGTGTAATATACACATTATGTATATACATAACAATATAAAAGTAATGTGAAAGATAAAATATTAAACCATTTACCTTTATTTTATTTGATATTCTCTTCTCTACATCCTAAATTAATTTTGTTATCTTGTCTTTGTAGTTTACTATCGGAATGAATATTGTGGAGAAATAATATAAGCCAGCAAACTGTAGTCTATTAATAAAATTTAATAATAGAACTTACAATCGACATAGATTTCAAATCAACGTTGTCTGTGAAATTGTTGAAATTACTAGGAACAAATCGATTTTATGGTTTCTGGTGTTCTGATTTATGCTTGAGATTAGTGGACAAAACAGGTACAGGTTGTGTTTTCAGTTACGGATCATCCACATTTGGCACACAGAATGTTATACACTGAGCAACACATGCAATCTGAAATATCACCGAAATTTAAGTCCTGTATATCCCTTGTTTTTTGTTAATCGACATGAATCTTATAAGTAAAGCTGCTGCAATATCATCTAAGTAATTTTTGACGATTTACCTGTTACACGCCAAAGTGTATTTGCAACAACAACTAAATGGAACTATTTCTTCTAGTAGCTATTACGAGACTAACGCGAAACGTATCATCGTTTGTCTTGTTGTCGAAGTGTCGACACGACTAAGCATATCCATGACTAAGTCGCTACTTGTATGCCAAATGAAAAAAAAAAAAAGAGAAAAAAGCGAAAAAAAATGAGAAGAAAAAAGTAAGAGGGAGCACGGAAACAAAGTCTGATGATAAAAGGTACAAAAAACCGAGTCTCGAGACAAATTAAACGTTTTAGGTGTATGCGACATAGAGTCGCAAGCCGTATGAACTGTTGTTCAGAATCCAGTTTCCAAGTTTTATCGCTCTCGCGTCATATTTATTATCAATAGGAACCGTGTACAAGTTTTCTGCACCTTCTGACTTTGACAGTAAGAGATCGTTGTAAGATGCGCACCGTCGTTGTTCATTTATCAATTCGCATAAATGGACAATCGATTAATGAATGACGAATTATAATACACCAATGCTACCGCTGTATTTGCACATTAAGCTCGTTGTCGCTTGCCAGTATTGCTCTTCTGTATTCTTGCATAATTCTAACCGATGAACAGCAATCATTAAAGTTTTTACAAGTGTGACTTGCCTGTATTACATTTCCGTTCTTGATAAGTCTGTTGTTCGAACATGTTCGGGCATTCTTTTCCAGACGGTTCCGTATCCATCCATTCCGAAGCTGAGTATCGCGAGCTATCCTAAAAGCTTCTAGCGTATAAGTGTCTAGAAATATTTCTCATTGAATATTCACAGGATTGTGTACTAACTGGCTGTGCTTCTAGCACGAATATTACGTCGTCGAGAAAGTAATACGCCTGGCCGAGGTCTCCCTCGCAGAGGTAAGGCAGTTTGCTCCATACGAGACACCTTAGGCTCAATGGTGCGAAAACTCTGTCGACGAGGCTGGCTATTTGACCTTCTAGACCGTTCCCTTTTACTGGCAGATATTCTGACGGTTTGTGGTCACCCCTTTCACCAACTTCCACGTAAGGGCTGAAGGGAAGAACCAGCGCTACGACCAGACGTCCACCCGGAGCCAAAGATGATTTCAGACGGCGAAGTAGAGTATTAGGTCGATCGCAACGATCCAACAGATTCAGGCAGAGGATCACGTCGAATGGGCCGCTTTCGTGCCATTTTTCTACGTCCAGCACCCTATAAGATAATAGAGTATATTTTCTTCCATTTTTATTTTATTCCCATAGAATATTATGTCATATGTTGTTTGATATTTGAAAGGGGTGATAGTATGCTGTTATAATTAATTCACACAATCTGTTAAACATTTCCTCTCATCATCTTGTGTTTAAGATGCTTCGTTTAATGTTTTGGAATTTTATTTACGTGCATGCTATTTGGTCAAAGGTATAGGAACTAATTTTAAGAGAAGAATGCACATGATTTGTGGATTGCGTAGGATTAAATTTAGATAAAAATTTAGTAGCCTATTTTATATAGAATATTTCTTCTAATAGATTTTGATGATTTTCTTCTGTTAAATTTGAAACGTATTGCATAAAAAGAAATATAAAAATTAATATGAAGTTAGTAAATTCAGATATTTTAAATGCAGGCCATTTAGGTACGGTTATGTTCTTACAAAAAGTATTTTATCTATTTTGCCTATTTTCATATTCTCGTTATTTTTAATAACACAAACACTTGGATAACAAATTAAATTGGATTTGGATGATAAATTAAATTTGCATTGTCAGTAAGATTTGAAACAGCGAAAAATCTAGCGCCACATAGTAGATATTAGATTTTTCTAACAAAGTTTTATCTAATTTTAAAATAGTAAGAAAATAAGAATGATGTAATTACAATTTAGATACTATAGCTAAATATAAATGCTGTAGCAGGGTGTAGCATCCTATGTGGGATTTGTTTTAATAAATTCAATACTTAAAAATAATAAAATATGTTTATACAATCACTCAAGTTATAAATTTTAATAAAACACATACAATATTTTAATAAAATTATCAAAACATAAATGTTATCCAAACAAATTAGTTAAATTTTGATTAGTAAATCAGAAAATAAGACTTTTCAATTCATTCATTTTACAAAATATTCTTCCTCTATTAATAATAAACTCAAATACTATAAATTATTTAAAAGTTAAGAAACCTTAATGAAACACTACACAGCATTAAACTGTAAAAAAAACAAAAGTAATCCTTGAAAGCATATCTCACGAAAATCATATTAATAATTAGACAACAAAGAAATTAGTCTTAGCTCCAAAGCGGAAGCAAAATCAACTCAACGTTCGTACAAACCTATTGTTTAATTATTTTCAAGCATCGAATTCGCTCATATAACTGGATCCCACATAATGCCACACCTTGGACATTATCCGAATCAAAGTTACTGTTTACTTCACGGTGACTGCATCTCTAACTACTATCGTATTCTAAGTGTTAACACGTACTTCTCTTCCTATTTTCTCTTCGAAGATCTTCATTCGCGCCTAAGATCACGGGGGGAGGGTTCTAAACTCGTCTGGAAAAGAGCAAACGGATTTCTATAAAACGGTTACGGGTACATCGCACCCTACGGACATTTATTTAAAATTCGAATAGTCTCGGATTGCAACCGTATCGACGCGAGACAGGCCGGGTGTAAAACCACCGTAAACTTCTACTCCAATCAATTCGGTGCCATAAACTTGTTAGTAGCGCACCATGGTCTATTACATGCACCGTCCTCGACGACATTGAGTCGTTAGATGTTCCTCCAACTCTCGGATACCATTGAATTAAGCATCTACGCGCTTAATTAAGGCGACTACGAGGACCTTTGAAATAGTCGACGTTCCATGAGCGAAGAATTCTATGTTCGTTCTAGGGTGAACTGGTCGTTCGATATGAAACTTAAGAATAATCAATTTACACATCGATACTGCAAGAATGACCTCGACGATCGGTTTCAATTTTCATGAAATCTATTGTTAACGAAATGTATTTTCATTTTTTTTCTCTTCTTTTTTCGAACTAAAATTAGTGGTTTTGTCCAGTTTTTAAGAAATAGACGTCTACAGGGCAAAGTGGTAAAATAACGTCAATTTAAATGTACCTTTGATGTGAATTTTTCTTGCTAGATATTATTTATCTTTTTAGTTGGTATATTGCATATAGTATATCTATTGCTTTTCAATCGTATAGAAGAAACCTGTAATAGATATCTCATACGTTAAAATACAATATTCAAAAGAAGGATAGGATAATTTAGAGAATTGTATATTTATTTTCAACAAAAGTTTTAAAACGTTTGTCAAATTCTCTTGATTTATTTTAATTACCTATTAATATAAAAACTTGCATTTTTAGATGGTTTACAAATTTGCAAATATTTTTGGAATATTTGAAAATTAGTTAACATTCTTTATTTCATCAGTTACACTTACTTGAAATATTCATAGCATCGTACGAATTTTCATTGCGCATACTTGAGCAAAGAATTTAATCTTCTGTATATTTTAAACACAGATGGAATTACGACATTCTAATATAAAAAAGGTAAGATAGATGGGCGAATAAAAATGTGGAAAATTCTGTGTATCGTAAAATTTTCAAATTTCTACCTCATCGATATTTCGTTAAATAAGTACAAATAGGAACCCCTACAATTTTCTTGTCCCTTTTAAGCTTTCATTTCGAAGAATGCAAATTGAACGAAAGATTGAACGTGACTTACGTGAACTTCCTTCTCGCCAGAGCCCATCTCATCGGTGCTGATATGTCTGTGGCGTAAACTTTTTCAAAGAGGTGGGCTACATGAGCAGTGGTGGCACCGTCGCCAGCTCCTAAATCCACCAACGAATGCCACGGCCCTGTAAAGCCGCTCGCTGCCATAAATTTTTGAAACTGTTCGCAGGAAAAGACATGCATGGAGCCGCGGCCTAGCAGCCTGAAATCATCATTTTACAATGTTGAAATGCGAAAATTAATAACATAGAATATATGTACACAGAATAGCTTGTCTTTCCTTTGAGAAATATATTTGATATTAATATTGATGAGATTTCATTTTGATGGAATTATATAACATATAATATGGTAAAGTACTATTTTACCACATAACTGTTCGTAATGTAATAAAATATAACCTTATATATAATAATTTCTATATTTTTTAAATAAGTTTTAATCGTTTAAATATGTTTATATGATATCGGTACAGAAATTTGTCTTTATTCTCCTATGTAAAATTATAATTTTTCGAATCAAATGTCGCTTAAAAATGCAGGCATTTACAATCGCATTTGGATTATAAAATATTTATAGTTGAAATGCGAATAAATTTTAAAGTATTGAAAAGCGAAGAAAGTTTGCAAACACGTATAGAAATTTTCGCATTTTCTGTCTCGTACAAAATATAATTCCGCTGTAACAACTTTGACAAGGTAAATCTAAGTTATTACAAGATAAAGTCGTAAACGTCGAGATTTGGTGGTGCGCGAGGTCGGCTACAGAAGGGTGAGACGAATAAATCAACGCAACGGTAACACATATTTCAACATCTCATTGTGCGGGTCGACGGAGCTTCCATGATCGATGAAAGGCAGCTGCATATAGAAATCAAAAGGTCCGACGTGTTTGTGGCTCGGTTTAGTCGGGAGAATTCGATGATGCCTCGTTTCGGAGGGAATCTTCCGACTAGCCGGCGGATGATGGCGAGGGCTGAACCATGGCTGAACGCACGAGGAAAAAGGGCGGGTTCATTTGAAAATACCAGCGCTGCCGCAACGCGGCGCACAACGGTGGCGATCCATCAATGCCGCGGAACGCGGGATTTTGATCGTGAATTCGGTTACCCCCGGCGTTATAAATAAGGCGATGGTGGTCTCATGGTCCCCTTCTTCGTGGGCCCACCTCGATTTTTCTCCCTCTCTACCGCTTCCTGCGCTCGACCATAGCCGGTGCCATCAATTAACGAGCACCTCCTGGCTTCTATTGAATAATAAATAAAAATCAAAAAGAGAAAGAAAAAGAAAAACAGACGAGATAGGAGGAGGAGGAGAAGAAGGAAGAGAAGAAGATTTCAGAGGAGACAGAGGAAAGAGGTGCAGAAGAGGAGGATGTAAAGAAGCGAATGGAAAGAAGAGAAAGAAACATGGAGACCCGGTTGCCGCATTTTTCGTAGCATCTTTCCGATTCTCTATCTTGTTCTTTATTCTTTCCACGGATCATTCACGGTCTATCTCTCTTATTTCTCCGTTTATTATTTGCTTCTTTTCATTACCATCTTGTTTTTGTTTTACCGTCTCTCTGTCTCTCTTATACAGTGCCTGTTTACTTTGCCGTACCGTTGGGCTTGTTTCCATTGTCAGTCTCCACCATGGTCGCGTATAACCTGTACACGGGTCTCCTTGTTGCACGCCGGAGACGATCAACCAGTGAAGAATGAAAGAAATGGAAAGGGAAGAGAGCGTGCAACGAAAGAGAAAACGAAAGAACCAGTGAGAAAGAGAGGGTGAGGGGGAAAGAGCGGAGGAAAGGAACGGGTAGATACACATACGATATACACGCGTGCGGCTCACAAATCAGGCTTGCGGATCGTGGCGGCTTCGTCGGCGGCGCGAGCGACAATTAATTCACCGCTTTTGCTCTCGGCTCCTCTTCTTGGACCCCATTGTGTGTACGTACTCGTTCCTCCCTTCTCCCCGCGTCGCAATGTTTCTCCCAATGGAGAATCGTTCGGGGCCTATCGGTGCTTCCAACGTCGCCCTGTTTTATCGAGCGATTCCGATCCCTTCTTTTCGTCCTTTTTGCTTTCCACAACTTCGTCGTCGGGGGCCCCCTACCTCTACCTTTCGAAGCCGCGTCTTTAATTTCGACCCTGGCGTCATGCGGTCTAGAGAAGTCCGGTGCGCGCGCGGCTACACAGCGTTGCCAGGTTTAAAAAGCCGATCCCTCGCGATCTTGCGTTATTACGCGGATTTTGAATCGGCCCATTATTTCTTTCCCACGCAGTTTCGTTACGTTGTTAATAATATATTATTATTTTTCAAATCGTAGAAATTAGGAGCCAATTGTTTTAGGGTAAGATGCATTTAGATAGTTTGAATGTAATACTTATTTTATAATTAAATTCACACATCTTCGCAGTTTCAAGCCCGAGTCCTTTAAAACGAAAGATACACACTACAACATTTTACTCTATCTTTTCAATTCATTCTTTGAGAAAGGCCACATCTTCCATATCAAAATTCATACAAAAATTTAATTATGAATCTAATACTTGCATTACAATCGATACGAGTCGTACAATTCGGTATCGATTTAATTACTCGATATTCAATTAAAACATTTAATCTCATTACTAATAAATACATCTACAAATATGTATCGTGTTTTACCACATACCAATGACGAATTGCACATAGCGCGCATTTAAACACTATCGATTCCAACACGGTAAAGTGTTATAAAAGTAACTATATATGTACATCAATATCAATAATCATGTAGCAATCTCAAAGCATATATCATCAGGATTAAGAATAACTGATCGTAAGAAGTTTCGAAGCGCTGACGGCTAGTCTACGAGTCATATCTACATGGAACGGGACAGTGGCGGGTATAAAGGTGATAAGAATCTTTTTCCAGGGGTTCTGGACGATTATTTACAATTCCAGCCACCTACTCGGTCCGGGCGGTGCGGTGGTTGAATTTTTGTCGACCGACAGGCGGCGCTGGTTCAGTTCGCTATGGCCTCGGTGGCTTTTATCGGTGAGGGCCTCTCGCGTTCGCTCGTAAAATACCTCGAAGGGCGAGCGCGTAGTGTTAAAGAGGCGCTCGAAGGACCGTTTACCTAATAATAGCAATAATATGTAAATGCGATGCGTATCAAGTCGCCATCTAAAGAATCCACCCCGCTACGGGCCTATTGTTTGCAAATCTTCGTTTCAGCCGTGCTGCTCTCTGCTGGATTGCTGCAGAGCTCTCGATACACCTATCTCCGTCTCTTTTTGCACCATCGTTTTACCTGCGATCTGTCCTTCTCTCGATACCGGACGCGCAAATAATCGAAGGTAGGCTAGCATTACAGAAACACACCTAACGACACAGACGCGAGACGCGTCTCATCGTATCTCGGTTTTTCTGCAGTATTCTGCTGTTTGCATTCGGAGAATCGCGGAGTCTAGGACGATGGAAAACGAGCATATGCCACGATATCATAAATTTACAGGAAGCTTTACAACAAATTATTTTTTGGAAATGTTTGGTATTAAACTGTAAGTATCTCAATTGAAGATCGAAGTAAATGATAAATGGCAATTACTATCGAACTTCGGTTCCAGCATTTGTACTTTTGTTTTGAACGGCTCGAATCAGTTTAAAATATTAATATCGCTGCGTAAATATTTTGGAGTAACGGTGTGCGATTTAGGTTAGTCAAGGTACACGAATTGAATTCAAGTAACTTGAACTTTTCATAGTGTCAACTATAACAACGGCGTCAGAAAAGTAAAAAGAACTACTCTACTTGTAAAGAGAGTGCTAAAGTACTAGAGTACTATCGCATATTCAATTTTCGACGTAGTCATATAATTCTATCGAGAATATAACACATGCTTGTATTTATGGATGCAAAGTTCGGTTCAGCGTAAACCGCTTTAAGAGGTTACATCGATGCGGTACAATTATAATTTGATTCAATCTTGTCACGCTCGAGATTTTTCAAGCTTCGAACGTCATTATATATTCACGTCGTTACATTCGGGACCGGTGTAACACTGTAATACAACGTGGAACTTTTCGAAGTACGCCCTGAATGGATTAATGAACCGAGTGACATGGGATCTGATTGGGGCAACACTTAAGGAATCCGTCCAGTCATCTTTACCTTCGTTTGTCGCCCTGAACGAGCATAACGCGTTATCCTGACCTTTCTCCTCCTTCTTTTTATTCTTCTTTATGTCACTTCTCTTTCCCCTTCTTCGGTTACTTTTTCATATTGTTGCTCTAGATCGCTTTTCGACCACGTCGAGGGACTCGCTTTTCGTTTCGTGACTTACATTGCTGACTGTAAGCATTAGGATATCTTACTCATCTTATTGTACTGTAATAAAGTAATTAGAAAATAAAATCAATGGGAAATGTTCAATTTGTACGAAATATCAAAAGATGTTGTAAATGTTTTGACGTATAGATACATATATGTTTATGGTTGGCGTTATCTATAATTTGCCACTGCAATTGCCAAAATTTTGGATTCCTCTATTTTCTATCGCACTATTGCGTTACTATTATCGAAGATTGTATTATAAGAGACGTCTAATTAACAAGTAACTGTCATCAACTGTGGTCTGTAATAATTACAACATATCTAACGAATAAAATTATAAATTAACCAAAATAATTGATAAAAATGCCCTTATACATACAATAACCCTCTATATATGTAGATATCGATAGAAATTAATTTCAATTTTGTATTTCCTAATTACAAAATCAAATGTCGAGAGACAACAAGGATCTTGAGTTATGTTTATAACTTCCTCGTTCGATTCAATAGTCAATTTCAGCGGTATTACTTTCCTAGGATGCACTCAATCAATGTCTGCCAGACTGAAAAATGTATTTCGAATTGGTGAGAAGCAAAGGGATCACGGTGGCTTGAGAAATTTCACAGATCGTTCGCCAACTTTTCTTCGAGAGAGCTTTTCCTACGTTTACAAATTCAAATCGACCGTGAAACTTTTAATTCTGAGTCTTCTGTATCGTACATATATTCGCTGACAATTCGCTACAAACATCAATAATGGAACGGAACCGCTGAACTCAGCTTCTACCTTTCCGCTATGAAACATTATTGGCATCGACGATATTTATCATGTGTCTTCGAAGATATCGAAAGCACAGACGATATTTTAAGATATATGTATTTCTTTGAATTACTTGATAACAAAGGATCTCTCACAGAGAACAAAACGATTCGCATAAGCTTAAAATATAGATTATAAAGAATTAAACTTATCATTGGAGCAAATATATTTTTGTTATTTTCATTTTATAACAATTCTTCGTTATCAGATGGGAAGCACCTAAATTTAATTAATAAACGATTCAAGCGGTTCAGCCGTCATCGGACTGTACGAAAGAAGAACGACCGAAAAGTCGCAAAGATTATTTGAAAGAAATCGAACAAGAAGAGAACCAAGGGTCTTTCGTTCCGATGTCATCGTTTCTTGTAATTCCTCGATCTTCTTCCCCTTTTCATTCTTCGATCACGATTATACAATCGACGTTCTAGGTTTTAGCAAAAGCGCGACGAGACACGAGCATAAGCATAAGCAGAAACAGAATCGGAAGGAACGACGCGCTCGACACAGCGTATGCGCAGCTAGTGTGCGTCCGCGGTGACAATGTAGACCGTAGCCGGTTTTCGGATTCGTTCGACTATTTTCGCGAGCGCTCGTGCGCCGGATCACCGTGGTGGGGGTTAGCTAGCTTCGCTGATGTGTGCGAGAAGTCAGCGCGTGGTGGGGAATAGCGATAGTGGGGATAGCATGGGGAAAAGAAGGACGAAGAGAGGGAGCGAGTAAAGGAGGGGAAAACGGTGTCGTTCGAAGGAAAAACGAGAGGAACGAGAACGGAGAAGACAGAGAGAAACGTAGCGTCTATTTAGCATTCCCCCTACCGCGGCGACGGTATCTCGTTAGCTGACTTTTCGTTCCTTCTCCTTCTGCTCGTTCGTCGTGCTTGGAGCGCGGGTGTGAGAGACGAGAAGTTCCGAGGACTATGCGAGACAGAACGGAAAGCGGAAGAGAGAAGCGAGAAGAAGAGAAGAGGGGAGAGAGGACGTAGTTGGGAGCTAGGGATGCTGGGTAGGCGTGGAACATGGACCACCCTGTCCACGAGCGGTGGAGGGGAGGCCACGCCGCGATAGTCGCGGTGGTGGTGGCAGATCGGCGGCTAAAGGATGGGGAGGGAGGGTGGATAGGAGTATCCGTGGACAATAATTACTATTATACACGTCGGAGTTTTGCAAATGCTGTCCTCCGCGCCGGGTAAGAACGAGGAAACGGGGGAAGAGGGCTGAGTGGGTGGCTGGTGAGCATGTTTGCCCGTTATTTCGCTCAGCTTCGCCTAGGAGTTAAACGGGATAAGGGTTTGTCTCACGAGAGGGGGATGTGGAGCGATTCTTAAACGGGATCGTTATGCGAGTTTTTCGCATACTCTCTTTCCCTTTTTGCATCGTGTTGCCTTTCTACTTTCCTCTCTCTCTCTCTCTCTTTCTCTTTTATACTTCTGGATTTCCTTGTTCTCCACGTATCTCGTCTTCTTTCCCCTTACCCCCACCTTTGTCAGTCTCGAGGCCCGTTTCACCCCTGGAAACGTTATCCATCTTTCTTTCTCTTTTCCGCGAGCGTCCGCGATCTCGAAACGTTCGCGTTGCGTTCGTCGTGACTGCGAATATCGTCGGCGAGCGTGTGCGCGGAGACGTGGATCACACGTCGCGTATCCGTTCGAACCAATTCGACCCTTTCCCGGCGAGGGTGGGGGGAGCGGTTCCACTCCCCCTGGTCTCTATACACCGCGACGCTTTTACGGAAGGGGCGCGAGCGAAGAAATCGCAACGCTCTGTATCCTTTCCTTTTGTTTCCTCGCGTCAATTTTTGAAGGATACGATGCTCCGTTTGTTTCGCCGCGATAAGTCGGCACTGAAAAGGGAAGTATACGAAGGAAAGAATTCCTATTGTTGGTTGTATCGAGGAATAGCGTTTGCTGAAAGGTTATGCTCGAATATGAATCGACTGTTTAGAATAAAACCATTTTTATTTGGTTTCGAGATTAAACACGCAGTTCTCTTCCTACGTCCTTCTCGTGTCTCGATCTCGAACAGTAGTTCGATCGAATTAGTTTACCTCGATTCACCGTATAATAATTCGATTAATCGGCGGTAGTCTATTTTATTCTGTTACCATACGATATCATAGTTTGATAAAATGGCATTCTAATATTTACTTCTTGGTGAATCTGTAAGAGTACGATATCGTATCAGTTTGTAATTTCGTCGCAAGTTCGGGAACATCGTCCGATTTTCAGCGAGATTGTCGTGGGAGAATATAGGAGCACGAAGTGGACTATTCGCGAGGGAAATACACGCTTTTATAACTCGTTTCTTCTCGGCGCCAGCTACAGCAAATCCTCCCCCCTTCCTTGGAGACGTTTCTGAATTTTAGACGCCTTAAACACTGTGATTCGAGTACGATCCCCAAGAGTTGTTGCGCCATAAAAGATAAAGAAGGACGGGCGTAGACTCGATTCGACCAACCAGCTACATATTGTAGCTTACTAGGTATAAGAAAGAATGGGGGCGTGCGTCGAAAAAAAAAATCATTTTCTTAACGCATAAAATCAAATTGGAATTATTAAGAATCGAGCGTTTAAACGAAATCGCGGATAGCTGTCTAATGTTCGGCTACGTATATTCAAAGAAGTCGAGATCCAAAGATTTACAAATGTATTCCTGATCGCGATCGATGATCGAAGGATAAGGGGCGGATAAAAGTCATTCGTTCCGAAGTATACGAGAAGAATGAAGAATCGTGACAACAGAGATTAATTGCGTCGAAGCGGTGCAAGATACGTTTAATCGTAGCTTGCAGGTGTCGTTATAACATTATCCGAATTTATATTCGTTTTTATCGAGCTAACGTTCCTAACGATCGAATAACGTGAAATAACGTTTGAAGATGTCTTTCCTTCAAGCTGAGCTTTCTTCGATCGTCGTGTGTAAGGTCAATGTATCTTGCCCCCACCGGAACCTTCCATTCTATCGACTGCAGCGTATATAATAAGTTACACATCTTTTCCCAAGTGCAAGTTCCTCGCGAACGTGTTCGATATATATAATAAGCGTAACACTCCATTCTCTGATATAACTTTTCCGATCGAACGCAGATACCGACGTTGTTACAACTCGGTTTCACGGTAGCGTGTATTATGCACAGTTTGGCCGCAAGCTTTTTAGAATGGTTTAACGGGTTTAGGAATCGAGCGAAGATGGTAAATTTATTTTTTACATCGCTTGAAAAGCTGTCGAAAGAGCGTGAAAATACTTTCCTTCTGAAACGATAATGTTGCTCTTAGAGGTACGTACTTTGATTATTCGAAACGAGAAACTCGACGATCAGATCTACTCGATATTTCAACTGGCAATAATTAACGAACGTATCGATGATTATTAATTCTCCTTGTATTTCTCATTCTGATTTTTCTCTGGCAAACGCCTAACAGATTACATACGATCCCACTATCGTGAT